ATAGCTCCTGCACTTCCATTTGCTCAGTTTCCAGGTGGATTTGGGGCGAGGTAGGGCGAGATCCAGGGCCAATGGAGGAGGCCAGGACGGCTCTGTTGCTTTGCCCTGCCAGGGTTCCTGCCTGCAGGCGGCTCCTGTTCATACTGGGCAAGGTGCCCTCCAGCCCAGACGCTGTCTGTTCCTCTGAAGAGGGTTCATCTGGTACTGACTGCTGATTTCCAGCCCGAGACGTTTTTCTTGGGAGGGTGTCACAGAAGAAAACCTAGCTGTGCACATTTGCCCCCACAGCAGCCAAGAACAGAGACAGAATCTCTGATGAGGATGAGTCCAACGGTATAAGGAGGCTACCGTCACAGGGGCTTGGGTGGTGATCCAGGAGGCTCAGAGGGATAGTGGAGCCACTAATGCTCCTGTGCTCACAGGAGGGGGTGGAGGGAGTCACTCCGTTCTCAGAAGACAGAGCTAGAGCCAGCAACATGGAGAGGGCTGGAGAATAAGACAGAGCCCACACATGGCCGGCTGCTCCAGGGGCACTTGACAGCCTTGACCCACTGGAAGCTGAGGGGAGAGGGAGGGGCAATATAGGTCCACATAGCTCAGCCTGCGGAGAGGGTGGGGTGTGTAGGAAGATGACCACAGCACCCAGCACTCTGCACTTGGAGTACCCAGAGTGGGCAACCTAGCACTTTCCCCTGCTGAGTACCCAGCACAAAGCACCTGGCCGGCGCACAGCAGTACAGTGCTCCTAATGCATTATTTACATGGAAACAGAAAGCAGCAACGTGAAGATCACCTCCTTCATGAGATCAGAGGCAGGGTGGAGAGGAGGCCTGACTCCCACTGACTCACAAGCAGGAGCCTGGCTCCAGTCGGCCACATGGGATTTCTCAGCTGCTGAGGGCGGTGAGTGAGTGAGTGAAGCCTTGTTTCTGCCTGTACCCTCATGGTCTGGCTCCATGCACGTTCTGACTGTCCGTGACTCCATATCTTAACCTGGTGTCGCAGCTTTGTGCGCTTGGTGAAGAGCAGTCCAGAGGCCAACGGCTTGCTGGGTGCATGGATGTGCTCGTGTCACTGGTGGAGGAGGATGTGCTGGTGACACTGGCTGCATGCATGCTCCTTGTAGAGCAACCTGCAGGCAGCTTCGGTGGCATGGGCAGCCATGTCCAGCCTCTCAAGTGACCAAAGCTCGTTTAAGCTTCCTCCCATCTCCCTTGGCGACTCCAGAGATATGCTAACCTCCCGTGACAGAGGGCAGCGTTGGCTAGGTCAGAGGTCTCCAGAACCAGCATGGTGACACAGGTCTCCTGCTGGGACTGCAGAGCTCTGCAGCTTGGGAGGCCCCCTTGCCAGAGAGGACCATCACCTGCCAGGCAGGACCACCACCTTCCAGACAGGACCACCACCTGCCAGGCAGGACCATCTCTGCTGCCGTGTTTCCCTGCCAGTTCTAGTGAGGTGTCTGAAGACTCCCACATGACTTCCCAGGTCAGCTGGCTTCCTTGGCACTCTGCCCACAGGTGGCCGCAGGTACGTGTCAACCCGGCCCTGGGCCTAAGCTCGTTTGCTTACTGCAGTGCCAGTTGTTTTGACAACGAAATATTATGCTAAGTTTCCTCACATTTCTGATAAGAAAAGACCTTTCCATAGAGAACCATTTAGAGAATGATTTCTTTTCTTTGTCTGGGCACATCTTTTATATTATGAGGAACATAATTATGAATAATTAATGCTTTCATCAGGTAAAATGGCCCCAAAAGCCTTCCACTTGAGAGAATTTCAAATTTTACTGCCGAGATTAAAAAGTGTACATGGATATATACAATCTGGTATTTGAATTTTTCATGTAGTATTCTGGATATTTCCCACTTAAATTATAAAAATGAGATTGAGTGATGCCACATAGCAATCACGTGATCTAATGATTATGCAGCAATAGATTCATAGATTCCTGGATGTGAGCCAGCAGCTTTTTACTTTGTCTTAAGTGAAAAATACATTCTACTCCACTTCTGCAGAATACAGATTATCAAAACGACTGGAGTGACCTGATTTAAATTGTAAAAAACTTCAAATAAGCAAAGACTCAAAGATTTTACTCAAAAGAGGCAAAAAAAGGATAGATCATAGAATAAAACTATTTTGCTCATACATTTTAATTCATATAGTCATCAACTATAAAAGCTTATTTTTCTTTTCAAGAGAGTTTTAACTTAGGCATTAAGTATCTGTTTTTTGTGCAAAACCTTTGTGATCTCTGTTCCTGTGCAGTAATAAAAACTCAGATAAGGAAGCAGAATAGGGTCCAGGATGGCTGAGCAATTCATCATCCTGTGCTTCATTCCAAATTGTGTTATCCACTGAAAAAACTACTTAATGTGTTCAAATTTTGTTCGTTTGTCACTGTCTGCTCCCACATGAAATATTCAAAGAGCCTTTGGTATAATGAAATAACTGTTAGGAAAACTTTTTTATGATAGATATTACAATCAAGATGCAAGAAATCAGTTTGTATTAGCTTCTAAAGCTTTAAGTAACTCATCCTGTGGAAGCAATGAAAAAAAGGTATAATTTTTCAAACTAAATATTCAATTTAAACCACTGAGCTAACTTTTGAAAGAATATCTAAAATCATAAATATTAAAGTAATTTCTATAAATGTTATCTCAAACTGACTGGTAAAGAGAAGTCTAAGCCCTGTTTCATTGTATCTATTGATCAAAAATGGTGCTAACCTGGTATATCTTGCTTTAAAAGCAAGATAAACTTTTTCCTAATACACTGCCAACATACTTGCTGTGCTGGGAATTTAGAGCTAAGCGTGAACCTAGGACTTTGCCAGAGGCTTTCTGCCTCTCAAACACCTTTCTCCTTGTACACTCATGAACCAGTCTGCTCTCTTCTCCCCTTTCCTGTCTCCTCACACTAACGTTTCTGTCCTTTTAGCACAGCCTGGTTTATAATGTGATGGTCAGTTGGTCTGGGTGCAGAGAGGAGCCTGGCTGGAGAGGTCACCACCTTCACCGCCGGGTGGATCACTGACAAGTGCTTAACTGCTTGGGGCCTCAGAGGAGGAAATGGGTCATGGGGTGATCTGAAGATTACATTCCATCCCTAGCCCTTCCTCTCTGCCTCTGCCCCTGACCTCTGCTACCCAACACTACGTACTGAGCAGCTTTCCTCCATCACCCTGATGTTCCTGCCTAACAGCCAACTGACCATGGAGTGGAACCTTCGAAACCGGGATTCAACATAAATCTCCCTCCCTTAAATTGTGGGTTTCAGGTGTTTTGTCCCAGGGATAGGAAACCGCCTGACATGCATCACTCCCCATGGCTTGGCCTCCCCGTGCTGCCATTTCCAAGATACATCGTTGGTGCTGCTCCAGGGCTGTTGTGTGCACCACAGGGTGTCTGGCAGCATCCCTGGGCACTACTCACCAAGTCCCAGTAATGCGACATCACTCCAGACAACCAGTCTCTCCAGGTTGCTGCCACATGTGGCCCAGGGGACAAAACCTCCACACATGTAAGACCCTTTTCAGTTTGGAACCACCCTGCAGGCATGGGACTTGGTTCAGAGGAGATGCAGGTGAGTACCGTTATATCAGTGCAGGCTAAGATCGAGTGTTGGTGTGGGCAGTGCCCTGCTGTAATGGTGAACACGTTGTTCTTATGCACTGAGCTCAGCTACACACAAGCTTAAGATGAGTTCTACATCAGTTCTGCCTTACATTTTCCAATGTTTGAAGTGGGAAAAGAAGACACTGCTTTTCTAATAGGTTTGAACATCGTGGCTCATGAATTTCTAATGGGACTTGAAAGAGCTTTAATTCTTTTCTCCTCTCTTTTATTTATTTATTTATTTATATTTTTTGCAACTAGGGAAAAAGATAACTTTAACTCTATTCTAGGAAGAGAAGAAAGGAGGAAGAAAGAAAAGTAAGTTGGAGAGAAATGACCCAAAAGAGTAGGAGAGGGAGAAAACAAGACTAATTGAACTGAATACAATAAGGTTTTCCATACTTAAAGGCACATTTATGAAAAAGTTAAATTCAGCTGAAGTATTTTTAAAGGAGAGTATATCTTTCAGCCTGAATAGAGCCAAAAGAAAAAATTTAATTAAGCGGTAATTGACTTTTGTTACATGGAACACTAAGTTAATCTAGCAGACATAAGGAAAAATAAAGAGGATAGACATGGAAGACAATTTTTTAAAAAGAAAGAAAAAGAAAACCAACATTTTATTAATTAGTCCTCTATTCCTAGTGTAAGGAAACCAGGGAAAGAGGTCAAGTCATGGGCACTGTTCTGTGTCCTTGTTGCTGGAAGCCGCGCAGCAGTGCAAGCCCAGAACAGGCCCTGGACCCATGGAATGGGACCGGCTTTCCCCTTACTCAGCCTCCTGAGGCCGGGTCCTCCCAGATCAGAGTGTGACAAGCCCTCCCAGGTGCGGAATCTGGGCAGATACCCTGCGAACGCTGGTGAGGGAGAGAGGAGGCAGAAGGCCACTGCAGGCACAGAGGAGGGATGCAGCCCCTCCTGGCCTGGAGCCCCAGTCCAGACCCCTGGCTGATGTGTGTGCATGGCTGTAGAAAGCCCAGAGTTTCCTGAACCTATCAGGTTTGTGTTCTGTCCAATTATAATAAAGGCTAAAGTATGGTTTGGTTTGGTTTGTGTTTCGTTATACTGGGGATGGAACCCGGAGTCTTCTCCCTGAGCTACAGTCCCAGAACTTTTTATTTTTGTTTTGAGACAGGGCCTCACAAGTCACGAAGCTGCCCAGGCTGGCCTGGACTTTCGACCCTGCCTTAGCTTCCCAGAATGCTGGGACCACAGGTGTGCGCCGCCATGGCCAGCTGTTGCTCTTTGAATCCCAGTTCTCCATTCTTAATGAGGTTTCAGTTTACTCAGAACATTCACACTGTGTGTGGTAATTGTGAGACTGCGTTTTGGTGTGGCGTGCAGTTTACCTGTCCTTAAGTCACATGTGCTACTTACTCTGCGAAGTCTGGGTGTCTATGAATTTCTTTACCAACGCATCCGTAGTCTGGGTGTAGAGACTGAGAGCGTATCTCAGAGATTGAAGATCTGGGCTCTTCTCCAAGAAATTCTTCTTCAGGCCATTTCCTCCTGCGTGGAAGTATTGCTAAAAGGAAAAAGAAAGCCATATAAGCAGTACTGGAAATACAGGCTTCCTACTGAAATAGCGAAGCTCAAAAATAGCACACTACTGTCAAGATAGGTACAAGTGCCCTGGCACAAAGCATGTGGTTCAGTGCTAAACCAGTCATCATCTAGTCAGGCTTTCAGGAAATGAGATTCTTGAAGGCCTAACTCTTTCTCTCTCACCCCAACTTGGGTTACTAGACAGGGTCAGGACGTTGCCCTGGCCAGTAACCTTCCGGAATGAGAGGTCCACTTGTCAGCTGTCAGCGTGGTTACGCTCCTGTGTTCTGGACGGGAGCACAGTACCTAGGTTTGCACATTTCACAGGTGCTAGCTTTGCAGACACTCATTTCAGATTCCAGGCCAGGGCCTACAGCTCTGTCTCACCCATTCCCAAGTCACAAAGTCACACAAAGGTACAGAAATCTATCCGCTGTGCTGACTTCCTATGGATCTGAGAAACGTAATACAACATGGAGACTTTGGTTTCTATTTTGATTTTGATGTCCCCATCCAACAATCCTGAATGATTTCAGTTTACACCTAAGGTAGAGATGCCTGCGCACTGACAGTGAGAATGACCATCAAGAGATGTTGGCACTTCACTGTCTTATGCACAACCAACTGCTAGAAAGGCAGGAGGCCTAGAAAGATGCAACAGAACTACAAACACTTTCTCTAAACACTGCAGAGATGATACATTTATAACATTCCGTTACACTCCCATAGTGAGCTCTCTTCCAGGAGGACGCTGAGTCTTCAGTCACTGCGGCTCTGGAAACTGCTGACTGCATAGAATAGAGGGATCTGAGGATGTGAGTGAGGCTCTGACCCACCCATTGAATATGCATTGCCTCTTGTCCTGCTTTTGATGAACAACGAACTGAAAAATCAAAATTATCTGTGCTCAAAAGGAGCTGCAAAGAGATAAAATGTTCCAGGCATCTGTAAGCTCTGGAGTGTTCTTTCAAAGCATAGTGCTGGAGGAGATTTGGGCTGTGAGCTGGAAGAGGTAAGCAACAGGAGCAGCCATTTGAGAGACACTGGCACTTCGGAATCCTCTGGACCACAGGCCCGTGGTCACGGGAGTCTCCTTGTGGTGGCCAGCTGTGTGCACTAAGGAAATGTACATTGTAGCAATGGCTACCAGGGGCGAGGCAAGCAGAAAGGAAAAGCCTTCTTTACTCCTTACTTAGGAGGAAGCAAAAACATAATGTTTAAGATTGGTGCCCATTTTGTCCTTATTGTAAAAAATGTTAAGATATTTTCACATACAGACAATACTCATTGAGGACAGGGGGTTCATAATTGTTGCAAGTACCTTGATGAACACACAAAAAAATGAGTTCTTTTCCTCAAGAAATATACGATGTATATAAGTGGAAAAATATTAAACAGATGTATGGAGGGAGGAGATTTAACCTGGTTGTCCTCACAAGAGAGCTGGGAACTCTCTTGAGGTTTCCACGGTGAACCCAGGTGTCACCAGAAGGGATGGCCACCCTTCTGGTGCAGGCATAGATGGTGCCAGGAACAGGAGAGAGCACTGGGCTGAGGAGGGCTAGGGAAGGGAGGGGAGTCCATATGTGGACCTCAGGTCAGCCAGGTCTCAGCCGACCTGAGTGTCCATGCTAGAACACTGTAAAGGAAGGTAGAAGAGAGGTGACAAAATGGGCTTTTGTACTTCTCAGGAGAAATGAACAGAAAGTGTGTGTTCTGTTTATTATACCCGTAGTATTATTTTCACTTTTCATTGTCTTTGAGGTGCTTTAAAAATGTAAATTGTAGAAAATAGTGAATATTGTAGGTGATTTGCTCACAGCCATGCAAATTAATAGCTGGGTTAGGTGGTACACGCCTGTAATCCCAGCACTCTGGAGGCTGAGGCAGGAGGACTGCTGTGAGTTCAAGGCTAGCCTAGGCTACACAGTGAGTTCAAGGCCAGTCGGAACTGCAGAGTGAGACCCTGTGTCAAAAAAAAAAAAAAAAAAAAAAGCAAATTAATGACTTCTGGTGGGATGTGACTGATTTTGGCTCTGAGAGAGATCTGTTTTGCCCATATTGTAAATGCGTTTTAGCTTTACTTATTGCTCACACATGTGTGGTTTGCAGACCTCTCCTGGGAGCCAGCTGCAACACCTTGCTGGTTGTCTCACTCATTGATATGTATTAAAATTGCGCTTTTTAAAAAAATCCACCCTTTCCCAGTGTGCATGAAGTACAAGGTGGCAGCACTTGCAAGGATGACCCAGCTGTCAGGGTCCAGCGGTAGAGGACAGAGCTACAGGCCCCGAAGTCGCCCGGACAGCATCAGGGACAGTGTCTGTCCTCCCTGCCACTCCCTGCTGCCTTTCTAGCAGATGCTGATGATACCCGAGCTGTGAGCCAGGCCATGCACTGTGCCAGTGACATCACAGGGAACAGCTGCAGCGGCTGTCGGCTGTCGGAAGGTTATCATCCCGAGGGGAGTGCAACCCACACATGGCAGGAGTGACTGTCATACATTGGAGGGAAAAGTGAGCCAACTAGCTCCACAAGGAGGGTCGGTAAAAGCTTCCAGAACAATGATATCCTCGGTGCTTATTGGTCAGTGCTGCTTCAAAGCAGCCTCTGGATAATGGGTCACAGAGACCAGCTGAGGACAACTCTGCTAAATCACCAAGAGAAACCCAGTCTAGCAGTGCTGGCGAGAAGAGGGAGACCGGAGGTCTTCACAGTGTCTTCCCCTGACGTGGTTTTGGGAAGTGCTGTGTGCTGTCCTCATGCCACCCTCATTGCTAACCTGTGCTGCCTGGAAACCCCCTGTCCTGCTGGGCAGATGCGGTCCAGGGCAGGCGAGGGTGGATGCTGGCCTCTGGAGAGTCACAGGGCTTACCATGTAACAAAGGCACCAGAACCAGGGTGGAAAGAAAGCTGTCTAACCTTCTTTACCATCCCCGGTTTCCAAGATGATTTGGCTATAGGATACCTATCACTGGACACCTGTCTACAATTTGGGGGATGCCATGAAATATGTCCTTGGAAATCTAGAAAAGAATATGATTTTGAGTATGACTTTGGAAACACTAGAAGACTGTGGCTGACTTCATCTATCTGGGAGATTTCTGAGGAAAGAGAAGGCTTTATGGGAGACAGGACAAGAAACAAGCTACGAAGGCATAAATCATCTGCTTATCCTTCAGTCTTCCTAGTTCCTAGAGGAAGATGTGTTTTCTAACTTAGTCATTATCCTGTAGGTCCCTGGGATGTGGGGGATGACTCACAAAGTGGAAGCCAAAGTGCAGTCTGATTTTGTTCCAAAGTATCCCTGGAGTCACAGGTTGGAACACTCAATTGACCTCTTCCTTCTAAGCCAGTCTTCCGAATGGTCAGCCCTGGCTCCAGCAGGATATTTGGTGAATGGAAGATCTCTCTCCACTCAGAAATGAGGCCTTTGTTTCTGAAGTGCATTTTATAATGAGAGAGGTGGAAAAACAGAATCTCAGACAGAGGGGAGCAGTATTGGAGAGAAAACAAACGCTTGCTCCATGGACGTAGATAGAGGGGAAAAGACAGCTGCAGCTCCGCAAATACGAACTCCCAGATGCCGGTTACAAGGCTTCACACTGTGCGGGCCAGGGTGCCTGCGCTGGTCATTACTGCATGGCCCCAGACACCTGAGGCAGGGGCTCAGGGTCCACCTGGGCATTGGTGCCCAGGGCTCCACACTTGGTTCTGAATCTTTGTGAGGGACCCAAAGAAACAGGAAAGGGGGACTTTTCACTTTGCTTGGGCTGAAGAACATGTAGGAGGGAAGTCTTCAATGTCAAACACGTCTTACTTCCAGGGCTCAAGCCACTTGCTTATCTCCACTCGTTACAGTGAGTTACATACACACCAGAAGGAGGTCACAGAATAAGGGGAGCCTGCGTGTGGGGCTGTGAAGCTTCTGGATGCCTGCCTCATGTGTGTGGGAATGGACTACTTTCCCTGGCTCTAAACAGAAGGCCAGGACTCAGTTTCTTGCTGCTGCTTGGGATCTGAAGCAGGAATCAAAACTCCCGGCGCAGTACTGTGTTCTGCCTGGGCTCTGTGCGGGCAGTGCGAGCCCTCAGAGAAGAGTCGCAGGGCAGGGTGCAGGTGGTTCCTTCTCAGGAAGGGTGCTCACAGTGCCTCGGAGGTGGACGTGGAGGGGCTGGGTGTCTGTGTCACAGAGAAGGGGGTGTCCACAAGGCAGCGGACCTGCCCAGCCTGATGTCTCACACAAAGGAGCACAGCAAGGCAAGAAACTGGCTTCACACGTTAGCACCTGGCAGCACAGTGTGACGTGACTGCCAGTCGGTCCTGGGAGTCTGGGGTGGCAGACTCCCAGGACCGACTGGCAGTCACGTCACACTGAATGTGCACACATTAACGGGCATCTGCTCCAGGACAGCCTCACATGTGTGCTCATCACTGAGGGCAGAGTGTGCTGAAGAGGGCCCCAGGGCACGTCGCGGTCTGCGGGATGGAACGTGGATGCTCCTGAAGAGTGTTCCGAGCACAGGAGCTGTGTTTTGTGTGTGATGACTCACGGACTCCTCTCTTCCATCCTGAAGGTGACAGTGTCACTGCCCACCGGTGGGTCGGGGCCTGCTGCCGCCTCCCTTCCGTCTCCATCCTCCTCCGTGGCAGTGTGGTGTCTGCATGGACCTGCTCTCCTCTCCTGGCGGTGGTAAAGGCCTCCGCCCTCTCACTTTAACTCATAGGTTCCCCTACATCTGAACGGGAACTGGAAAGCTGCTAAAAAGCATCATATTCTTTATCTGAAAAATACCAAGATCCTTTTCCTGTTTCTCTTGTTCATCATGAAACTGCAGAAAATAAAGCACTTTATATCTGGCTGTGATTTTTGAGATGAAGACTGCTAAGTAAAAAGTTAGGATAAATACCATCTGCATGCTTAGCTAGCCATTCTTCCTACAACCCAAATAAAACTCTCAAAATTCTTATAACGCTTCATACTGTCATACACTGTTTATCTTGTGAATCTATTTTTGCTGACTTATGGAAACATGCTAATGTTTCTCCACAAGATTTTGAGAAGTCCTTTTTGGTTTTCTCCACAGTCTCGGTAGCAGTTTCCCAACCTTGCTCTAGCTTCCAGCACTTGCATTATACTTTCAGCAAATCCACGCAGAGAGCACACTTTGCAAGTTTAGATGCAGTGCTTGGAAAACAACTCTTGAAAGGAATGTTTCTCCTCCTGAATTTCTCCAGTCACCACCAGAATTCATGTGTGGCAGGGCAGTCCCGGTCCTGCATTCACAGTCCTGGGGCAAATCTTGAGGCAGACAAGCTGAAGGGAGAGGGGGTTTTCCCAAACCAACCACGGAGGCTACAGAATTCAGATGTCGATAATAGCCCTGGCAGAGGGGCAGGCCACAGCATAAAGCAGTTACCTGGCAGATAGGCCATCCTCTCAGGGAGGTCCCTGAAGACAGTGACATCCTAGAAGTGAAGCATGAGGGGATTGGGGGCTGACTATAGGCTCACAAGGACCAGCATTGGACTCCACTCTGAAAGAGCAGGCCACAATGAAGACTCATCTGCTGAACCTTGAACACCATGTTGAGTGGACCCTTGAGTTATAACTGGCCTGGCATATGAACAACTTGGGTTATGACCAGAATTTCAGTTTTAATTTATGACCAAAGTCTTGAGTTAGGACCCAAACGCTGGCTGCTTGTGCTTCCAGACAGCCTCAGATATAGATTTAACTCTTCAAGAGTTCTGGAAGGACATCCTTTCCTATGTGGGGTTAACTGAGGAATCTTGAGCCACTATCTCTTGGAGGACCCTGAGCTCTGCCTGTATACAGGAGAGCAACTTCCAAGGCTATAGTGGAGCCTGAACCTTCAGCTGCCAACTTGAGTTACAGCCGGCCCTGGAGAATGAACTGAGTTTGTAGACCACGAGTCCACTGTAGTTCTGTCCCCAGACAGCAGAGAAAGTGTTGATGGTGGGCAGTGATTTCAGAGTGTTCACAGATGACCTGACAGAAACGCAGGGCATTTGGGTGGCTGAGATGTGGCTCAGAAGATTTGCTTGGGATCTGGTCTGTCTCAGGGCTGGGGTCACAGGCTGGGCAGTGGGCTCCTGGCCTCACCAGGGACCCTCAGAGAAATACCAGGCTGGGCGGGAGCCCTGGCTCCTCTCCCAGTTCCCCAGAGCACAGCCCCTTCCCATCCGAAAGCCACACATTGTTCTTGTAAAGTCCAGTCGGGGCTGCACTCGATTTGTAACGTCCACTTTACTTTCCTCCTCAGAGGACATTCGGCAGCTTTTATTCCTTGTATTAACACTTTTCCTAGATGGAGCCATTACTGCTCCAAACATAAGGCCACTCTTACTCAAATATTTCAAAATAATTTTTAGGAAGAGTCAATTTCAAACTTTCCCTGTATTTTTGTCTTCATTTTATTTCCTCAGAATTATTTTTCCAAATCACCACATTTGCAGACAAAGAATCCGTGGGCTTTCCTGCACTCAGTTTCTGTCCCCTCCCTGCCCAAACCCCACCCCCCACCCCGCCTCTTGTTTCCACCTTTGGTTTTAGCCCGGGGCCTCAGAGAAAACGCTGAAACCATGAAGCACAGTCCGAGGGTGATAGTTCCAAGCAGGCACAAAGGAGGTCTGACAGTGCCAGTAAAGGTCTGCTCCTCTCCACGGGACCCCGGCACCTCACAGGTCTCCGCTGTCCTGGCCTCTCCAGAGAGCAGTCCGCGTGGCCTGGAAACCCATTCTTCTATCTCTAAACTTCCAGTATGAATGTGAACTGTCTGCAGTCAGAAGGAATTCTCTGGAGCAGAGTTTTGGATTCTACTTTGAGACTGCATACATTCAGCTCAGGCCGCTGCAACTTTGGGCTCTAAGAACTCAGTGCCCACAGTACAAGGCCTTTGATTTTCAATGGAAAATAAAATCAATTTATTATTTCCTGAGTATAGAAAGGTGCACTCTGTGAACCTAAAGCCTGCGTGAACCATCCGTTTAACCTGGCCCTGAGATACGTGTCTGCCTTTGAAAACCTGAATTACAACAGAGGTGCCACATGCATTTTCAGGGGCAGAGGACACAGGTGTAGGAGCACGTGACCCGGGAGGCTAAAGGGATGGCAGTGCCTCCTGCTCCCACACTTGGAAGGAAGCTGTCCCGCTCTTCCCATGGCCTCAAGGTGCGGGGACTCACCTTAATGGTGGCCAGCGCCTCCTCCATGATGGCACACTGCCTGGGTGTCAGGCCCCTGGCGTCGTCACGAATCATGTGCTCCTGGAAAACAGGTGTGTTCATTTAGTCAGAGCTCTCAGACATGCTCTGTCCGCTTCCTGCACATTGACGTCGAAGATCCAGGCTCCAAAACAATAGTTGACTAGTGCTGTCCACCTTTTGTTTTTGGATCCAGGACCTTCATGCCTTCACACTGAGCTGTCTCTCCAGCCTTTGCTATTAATTTTTACTTTGAGGAGGGTGGGTCACACTAAATTGTTAAATTGTGCAGGCTGGCTGGAACTTGTGATCCTCCTGCCTCAGCCTTATCTCCTCAACCAACCACTAATGGAACTGGGCCCTTGTGAGAAATTCAGAATGACAGCTCTGTTCCATAGAGGCATCATGGTGGTTGTTCAGTTCTTTCTGAGGAAGGAGGTGGTGTAGACGATAAAACAGGACACTAACATCATAGGTACCTGTTTCACCTTGGTAAGTGATTATGCAGACGATGGTCCCCACTGTGCTGTAGGTAGGAGAGAGAACCCAGGGCACGAACTGGGCCACTGCTGGCCCGGAATTGCCCTGTCTGCCAGCAGCAGGTGGTGTCTTTTGCAATTGCCAGCAAAGTTAGGGAATGCTTCATCTTCCTTGTTCTCACAGGAGCCACAAACCAAATGCCAACATTTTCTGCTTCCTACAGATGCCACATCTAAAAACTACAGCACCTGAATGTGGCCAGCATCACATCAAGTAGAAAACTCAGTCAAGGTCATCTGTGTTTAGAGCTCTTCCCCTTACCTCTGTTTGAGTGGGTGGGTTAAACAGGGTAGTTGTAGGTCAAGTTCTGACTCAAATGAAGAGGGGCTGAGGGTTCCTATATGCAGTAGTAAGCTCACAACTCCGGGAACCCGAAGTGCTTATTATTAACGGTTGGGCTGAACATGGCTATATATTCATTGCCTGCTGGGATGAGAGTCACAGTGTTCTGTGCTGCGCTGACTTTAGGGCTTTTCTAGACTTGAGTGGATTTCTATGCAATGCTGCATTCTGCCTTTGTTCACATATGAAAGTGTGTGTTCTGATTTGCTCCGAAGCAACCACATTGATTGCTGCAGTGCAAAGTTAAAATCCTTGGAGCAGATTGTGAGGTCACAGGCATCCGCCTTCCTGTCTGTTACTAGGAGACAAAGAGGGTGGTAGAGCTGCGTTAGCACCTGGCTTCTGGGGCCCCTGGCAGCTCCCTCGCTCTCCTTACCTTCAGTTTGGATAACTGTCCCAGGTCTTTTGCTGTGATGAAAATCATCTGAGGACCCTAAAAACACATAGAGACAAGGAAAGGAAGATCAGTCTTACCAGTGACAGTTTTGGTCACGGTGCAAAGTAGCTGTGGAGGGTTTTCTTTGTCTACTGTGTTGCATTTTTTTTTGGTGGCTTTTATGTTCCATGTTCTTCTCCATCCCCTTGAAAGAGCAGGACAGAGATAACTGCAAGGTGCTCAGTGCGTCGGTCCTTGCAGGCTCCCACTCCAAGAGTCCTCGCTGGGGGCAGGGAATGGCTGAGCCACAGTGCCCAGGTTGACTGGCACATGCTCACACCTGTGAAACCAGCAGAGGCAACTCTCTTCTCTCTCCCAGAGTAAATGTGTGAGAATGTTCAGCTGCAGGGCTGGAAGGTGCTTTCTCCACAGCCACGGAAGATAGCCAGTGCAGCATGTAAGCCTTCCCATAATGCCAGGATGGGGCTGGACCACCAAGTATGGCCACACTCATCAGCACCTAGGACTATCTTCCAGGTACAGGAAATCGAGCTAACATTCCCCACATTCTCTCTTCACTGAAAATTATGCAGTCAGTAGGGAACTGGACTACCAGGTTCATGAGAACTGTGACCAAGGCTGATTTTGCTCATATTTTATCCCCAGCACCCAGCACCGTGCCTAGTACACATAAGAAAAATAATATTCACCCAGGGAATGAATGAATGAATGATACAGGCTCACACTTGGAGATGACAATGCTCAGGGGAGTTTGATGATGATAAGCTACTGTAGGAAAACCTTTATGCAGAGAACAAAATGTTACAGAGAGGCTTTGTGTGGTTATATAATTAAATTTATACATATTTATATGGTATACTTAAAAAGTCTCATATTCTTCAAAGTGGTACACTAAATATCATCAAGTTTATGGGGGAAATAGCAGCAGGCAAGGCAATCAAAGCCCGTGGGAATTTGCTGCTGAAGAACTCTCAGACATAATAATGCGTACTTCAAGAGGCTGTGTGGACAGTGGGGAGCCGGGCACAGCTGACCATGCCAAGGGACGGTAAAGCTGTAAGCCGACTGACCCAACAGCAGAGCATTGTGGCGCGGTCGTAGGGGAGCCAGAGCACAGGGAGGTGGGGTTCACTGGTGCACTTCGGGAGAGGAGGCCATGAAGCACTGTCTTCCTGTCCTTTGGCAAGTTTTGTGTGCTGTTGCATGAGAACATGCTCCTCTCCTGCTGAAGTTACAGTTCTGCTGTGCTCCAGAGGCGCTGACCGGGGGAACCTCCACAGACACCAGCCAGCTCCCAGACTGCACTGACGCCCTTCTGCCAAGCCTGCCACCACAGGCCAGATGGAGGTGCAGCCTCATCACGGCAGGACGAGGTTGTGTCTGTGTTTCCTGGGGTTGCACCACCCCCCACATGGCGACCATAGCTCATTAAGCCCCACATTTGTGGCATTTGGTAAATACAAAGTATTCCAAATTTTATCACTCCCTGGCAGTAAATCAAGAAAAACAGCAATTTTTGTATTTTGGTGCACTTTATAAAATACTTTTGTCTATATATTTCCACTGGATAAATATGGATTGATAAGCATGATTAATGTTCTTGACAGGTCTTTTACCTTATATTACTCATGATTTGTAACAGTTTCTCTTCCTTAATCACATACAGTTCTTCCAAGACAAGCGCACATTGAGTTACCATCTCCTTGCTAGTCTAGGTGGTGAAGTCTGTAGCCCCGCGCGGCTCCTGACCATCGTCCACCTTGCTGCCAACTGATCTTCCCAGTCCTCACCCTTCAGGTGGCTAAAAACTTCCTCCTCTCTTGGCCTCTAAGTGTGCCGTAACCAGGGAGGCAGAACAGAAAGGGGAGACACTCCAGGGAACTACCTGTGAGGCTGCAGCATTTCAGCAAGAATCACGGTCCCTACCTCCGTCCTAATTGTATTTCCCTGTGGTTCACAGTAAAATTTTGCAATGGCACATGAAGAGCAGATAAACTTACAAACTGAACTTTGATTTGTTTTTTAAAGATAAGCAAATGACAAGCCAGTAGGAAATGCGACTGCTATTAACACTACTTAAAGTTGACTTGAAAGAAAAATGTAATTTGATCAATCACTGTTAAAAAACTATATCAAAGACTTTCCCTAAATGAACTTAGTGCTTTATGCAGATCAAAACCATTCACCTTTATGTCAGGTTATCTTGTGGTGAAACACTATGTTGCTTAAATTGTTCTGTTCTGACCTGTGTTGTTATGTTGTTATGTCCTCTTTTATCTCAATCTCACCTTTTTTAAAAAATTTATTTTTTTAAATTATTTTTTAATTAAGGAAAAAATAAAAAAGCAGGATATATTATAGTAACTTTTGATTTCCTATTAACTTGATTTGAACCCCTGTATTGCTCTTACCATCTTGTTTTGACTGATTTTACTCTATTCTGTTCTGTTTGATAGTATCAAGTTTAAGGGTATAGGCAACTACTTTGAAGGCAATAAGACTCACTATGATGCTCATTCTAGTTTGACTATTATCTTCTTTTGAAGTCCTATAAGGTCTTCAACGTTTCAGTTTTATTGGTTTTGTTCTGTACTGTTTTGTTCAATTTTATTATATCTGATGATATAGGCAATTCTCTCTCTTTTTTTTTTTTTTTTTTTTGTCTTTTTTGTTTTTATCGGTACCAGGGATCGAGCTCATGACTGCCTGCTTACAAGGCAGGCACTTATGCCGCTGAGCTAAATCCCCAGCCCCTAGGCAATTCTTTTTAAGATAGCAGGACGCATTATGGTAACCATTGTTGATCACCTCATATTCTATTTTTACATCATGTACTATGTCCATCCTTTTGTTTTGACTGATTCCATTTTGTTTTGTCACATTTGATTTTATTCTCTTCAAAAAAAGGTAATAACTGTGGGAGTAATAAAACCCAAAATGTGTAATTGTTATTGTAAAAAAGAGAGGAAAAGAAAGTGCTCTAAAGGATATAGCTGCATGTATATTTAAGTGTGTAAGATAGATAACCATATTATTAAGTTTTTGTTGGATCATTGAACAGAACTGTTTGCATTCTCACTGTTTGAATGTCCACTTTGTATGCTTTAATTTTGTAACTTGAACAACTATTTCTAAGATGACAATATATAATCTATCAACTAGTGATTTCTTACTGTTTATTTTTTTGAAATTGTATTACTTATACCCTTTTATGTTTTGTTTTTTTCTCTTTAGATAAAAATTTAAAAAAACATTTACTTAAACAAAAGCACCTCTATAGATTGTTGAAAGTGAGCCACATTTTAAATACTTACTGTTTGATCTGTCAGAGGAGGGAGAACAATTTGTTTTTCTATTTTGTTGAGAACCAGCTTCCACAGCTCTTTCAGAACTCGCTTTAGTACTGTCTTCTCACAGATTTTGGCCGAGAGACTTAATCTGAAAAAGGACATGCACTCATCTATGTGTCCGGTTACTTTATGGACCCTTCAATTCATATTAACCACGGAGATTCCAATGCCTCAATAGGTCTTTATAATTTTAAAATGCTAAATTCCATTTACTGAAAAAGATAAAGCTTTATTGAGTCTATATATTAGATAATTCACTACATTTGATAGAAAATGAAATCTGAAAATTTATTTCCTCAGTTCAGAAAGAAAAACACATAAAGCATACAAAGTAAATTTATACCTAAAGGAAAAAGCCCTTCTTTATTCACACATAAAATCTATTCTGCCCTGTGCAATTTCTGCAATCTGCCACCAGCTTTAACTTGGGGTTCAGAGAAACATGACAGAACTCTTTTCATGTAACTGACAGGGCAGAGAGCATCGTGATAAAGTCAAGGCTCCCAACATACATGAGTTCCACCCTCACCCAATTGTGGATGTGGCACGGGCCCACGTTTAAGATCTGGACTGAATATCCAAGAATTGCATTTTTATCACTAGTGAGTGCTGAGCTGACAGCATGGCAAAGGTGTACATCACTGTACACAAGAACCAAGCTGACTAAGAATACATTCTATTCAAAGCTTTTCTCATGGTGAAATAATGATGTAATATCACCTGGGATTTGTATGACACCTTGTAAATCACTTTTGCATAAATGTCTCATGTTATTATATCCACTTAGAAACAAAACAGACTCAGAGTTGTGGTCTTTGTCTAAAAACATGTGTATTAGCTGGCTTTCTTGTTGCTGGACACAGTACTTGACATCCACCTTAGAGAAGGAGAGGTTTATTTTGGCTCATGTTTTAAGAGGATTCAGGCTAGGTCAGCTGGCCCCATGGGAGAAGGGTGTGGTTAAGCAAAGCTGTTTAGCTCACAGGGCCAAAGCAGAGCCAGAGAGGAAGGGCTGAAGGACCAGACACTGACCTCAAAGCTATACCTCCATGACACACCCAGGTGTGTGCTCTCCAGTCCTCCAGGTGGATCCTGAAGTCAGTCACGGTGATGCTGACCCTAACCATCACAATGGAGAACTAGAGAGGGAGTCAGAGCCAGGATATCCTTCTATGCCTCCAGGAATGCCTTCCATGTGTGGAGGCACAGGGCTGTGGAACAGCTGGGAAATACATCTTAAAGACACTGGACTTTTTGAGGCTCCAGAAGAAGAGGAGGTCAGCCTGCTCACAGGGTTTGGGGCAGCCTTCTTGTCTCCCTGGAGCACTACTCAGCACCCTGTCTACTTTTGGACTCAGGAATAATCACCCTGGCTCTCTCTCTGGCAGACACAATTGCCTTTTCATAGCAAAAGTACACATAATTATCATTAGTAATTGATTTTAATAATCAATATTTAAATAAATAACTGGGGATTAAATAAAATAACTGGGGTTGGGGGTTTAGCTCAGTGGCATAAGTGCCTGCCTTGTAAGCACGTGGGCCTGAGTTCAATTCCCGGTATTGATAATAAATAAATAAATAAATAAATACATAACTACTCTTTAAAGTAATGTGACATATGAAAGGCAAACAGAAATCTGATATATAAAAATGCATAAAAAGCCGCCCTGGATGAGACTCACCCGCGGGTGCAGCTCCACCAGCGTGGAGGCCCCTGTTCAAGGGTGGCGCTGTGAGTGTGCTGCTGAGAAGCTGCAGTGTGCACCCGGTAGAAACAGGCCAAGTGGCACTGGCTCTCCTCACCAACACTTTTAGGACGACTGAAGCCCAGCACACCTACGTGTGTGACGTGCACTTATGAAAGGTCCATGCGCAAGAACTGGTCTCACTTTTCTGGTTGGCTCACGCAGGTAGTGTAGTGGACTACTCTGGGGGACGGGCAGTGCTTGGACAAGGATAAGCCAGGGACTCGACCGCAGCTCTGCCCATTGCTGCTGCTGGGAATACAGCTCCCAGCTCATTGCACTCAATGTTCAAATCTTCATGGAGGAGGTGAAACATGAAGAAACGAGATGCATTACTCAGGCTCATGGAGCCAGAGGGAAACCGGGCACTTAAAATGTAATGTAATTTCCCAGGGGGAAGTTTTTTCAAAACCACCTTGAAGACTTCCAGTCATTTACTGGTTTTTGTTTTTGTCTTGTTGCAGTACTGGAGACTGAACTCAGGGTTTTTGCCCTGAGCTACATCTCAGCTGTTCTGATTTTTTGAAACAGGATATTGACTTGCCCAGGCTGGGTCCCCATGTGTAGTCCTCCTGTGTAATCCTTCTGGAGTGTTCTATGCCCATTTGTCTTGCTATGAATTCTTTGTTGGGTATGTTAAAAAGAATTATGATGCTTCTAAATGACCAATTACCCAAGTGAATGTAATCATTAGGCCTCACAAACATGTACTAATAAAAAAAGACCTTATAGCCCTCTTTTTATCTTATCTTGGCCCTTTAATCATTAATCTGATGTGATAACAATTAATGCGATAACATATGTAAATTACCCTATGACACTGGCCTTCCATGGGCATTCAAAATTATTGCTTGCTTTGCTGTCTCCAGGTCCGGGTCTGAGTGGCGGGTGAGTATACCTTCTCTGGAACTCCTGGGGCCAGAACTGTTTCAGACTTTGGAGTTCTCAGAATATGATATTTTTGCATGGTTTTACCACGTGAGCATCCCTGAGGCTAAAACCTGAAATACTCCCAAATCTGAGTTTTTGAGCATCGTGATTTTTACTAAATCAGAACTTCTGAGAGCAGGGATAGAAGAGACCTACGCCACTCCTGACTTGTGGCTGAGGACTGAGTTGGCCCCTGCCACCCCAACTCACCCATCCTCCAGAGTGCGATGTTCTTCCAGGGCCAGGGTTAGACCCCTGCCTGGCTCGCTGCCGCCTGGTGGCTGGCAGAAGGCTGGATATCCAAGGGCACTCAGGGAGTTGGCACTGAAGGCCACGTCAGGCAGGAATCTGCATGCCCAGTGGCTGGATTTGGCAGCCACATTCCTGCTGTTTTCTTCTTTAGCAGGTTTCTGACTCAATGTCTAATATTCTAGCTCAATTCCATCTCTATGTCCTGAGAATGTGAAACAAGATGTACCCAAGGAGCCCGGAATCCTGAGTCTCTGCCTCAACAGCTGCCTCCCTGGCCCCCTGCCTTCTCTCCTCTTTCCCTTCCTCTGTGCCATGATTCCTGACTTTTCCCATCCAGTAAAAAAATCAAAGGCACTGCACTTTGCAGAAGTCATTTGTTTCCATGACATTCTCTCTAAGACTCACTTACATACAGGAAAACAGTTTACTCTTAACTTCCTAGCAGTCAGATGTAGGCATGCAGGGCACTAAATGAAGATAAAATTGGGTAGAAAACTTACGTTTTGTCCAAGAAGTCCATGAGAGGCCTGAGCACTATCTCTGCATCCAGGGCTGCGCTGTTCTTGTTGGATGTGGTGCTTCCGTTGGATCGCATCTGGTGCAGTTCAACACTCATCTGTTTTATACACTCTTCAATTATAAGCTGAAAACTGAAACAAGGAATATAAGTCATGGGATAAAAGGAAACATCTTTGTTGATCACAGGTTGTGCCCACTAGAACATAAGCTCCATCAAAGCAGCATCTCTCTCCTCCTCAGTACTGTACACTTCCTACGCCTTGCACAAGGTACTATGCCTGTGACAAGGGGGATTGTCAGGAAATCCTGACGCAACAGTTAAATGCCATATTGTTTGTTTAAACTCCTAAGAGGCTTGAGCTTAAGTTTTCACAGCACACACACAAATGCTGTCACTGGGAGAATACATATCCTAACTAAGTGGACTGTGATCATTTCATAATGTATATGCATATCAAGTTGTACACTTTAAGTAGGTACAATTTTTGTATGTCAGTGGCATCTCAATAGAGGGTTAAAGAGGAAACATGGTCAGATGCACCAATGGTCATCTTCCCGCCTGCCTGCACTACCTCACAAGTCTCCATCTTTAAGTAGGCGATTGGAAGTAAATCCTGCCTGTCTCCTTGTTCTCCACACCCTGTGCAGCGTGGTGGTTCTTCCCTCAGCAATGGCAGGCAGCAAGAGATGTAAACAGCGACGACTCTCAGCGTCATTGCTAAGATGGCTTCAGCACAGAGCCAGTTAAGGCACAGGCCCATGCAAGCACAAACACAGGCAAGAGAGGAGTGGACGGAGGTGTGGGAAGGGTCAGGCCTAGGGACTGGGGCCCACAAGAGGCTGGGCACGCATACGGTGTTGAACAAGTCAGCCCTGTTGGCAGGACATGCAGTGGTTGCACAGCTAATGTTCTCTGGAAAGCAGACAACTGCAGAAAAGCTTCAGCTCATAGAGGCCGAAGGTTTCAATATAGAGCCCACATCATGGATGAGACCACATGTGCTCATTCATGCATCCTAGGTGCTAAAAACCATCAATAAATGTAGAGAAGGCATGGCTTCTTGCTCCCATAGCAGAGATGAGAACTTTATTATTTTATTACTTAAATTGTTAAATATTCTAGTTAGGCCTGTTTCATTTTTAGCTTTACCTAATAAGGGAAATTTTCAATAAATTGTAAAGGGTCACAGTTTGGCTGTTTTTCTTGTTTCCAGCCCTGTAAAGGCAGGTTTATAAACACACTGGTCCATAATTTTGAACATATTTTCAAGGCCTGAAGCTGCATGTGCCATGTTCTTGGCTCATCCTCCCTTGGCTCCTGACGTCTGCTGGGCTCTCTTGACCATTCCTGCCTCTCCAGACTTCCATTTGGATTTGGATCTCAGCTGACCCAGAAACGCGATACGTTTCTTAGCTCTGTTTCCATTTGTCTAGTCCCACAGAGTAACCTCTTCCAAGACCTCATCCCGGGGAACCCAAGCCCTAACCACTGGGCCTTTACCAGACCAACCCAGGCTCTGGCTTTCCATCAGGTGGAGGCTGAAGGGTGGGAGAGCGTGGGGTGGAGGATAAGGCAGTCAAGGGGTGGGTCCTTGTGGTGGTGATGTGTTTAACTGGGATTGCGATAGAAGATACTTGGAATGAGAGAACAAGAAGGCATATAATGGTGGAAACTTCTAGCTAATTGATTCCTAGGGGATCATCAGTGATTTTGCTGGCTGCCATAAGAATCACCTTGAGAGTAATGACTTTCTTTTGAACCTATAGTCAAGTCAATACTCACTCCTTACTGGGGTGTGAAGTATGTGAGCAGAGGGTCTGGAAATTATGCATCAAATATGGAAAGGTAGGCTCCCAAGCAGATCTATGTGGTGACTGATCTAAGCCAGCAGGGTGTGGGAAGCATCCTCATGGTAATTGCAGTGAGGCTCCACTTTTGCATGAGTTCCGGGTAAGCCAACACCTACACAAACTGAAAAAGCTTTTGTCTTTATTAATTTTCAGTAAATTTGCCTAACAACTTTTCTTTTTCTATTCATATTTCAGCAGAAAAAAATCTTTATTAGTTAACTTGAATAAAAAGTACTGCAGGAAACAACAGATTCTCTGAGCACCCAAGGAGCAGGACAGGCTCAGAATTCCTAGGAAATAGCCCAAACTCTTTGTCCACTGACTCAGCCTGCCACTGGTACTAATGAGGTCAATAAAGGAAACACAGCCACACACAAAAGGAGAAACACTAACAGGAAATCTAAGTGGTATAGTTTTGAAAATCTTACGGCCATCTGTACAGGCATCTTTCTAGGTCACCACAGTGAAACCGCTGCCTCAGGTCCCAGGCAGGGGACCCATGAGTGTCAGGACCAGGGACTCCCTTTCAGGCTTGGCTTGGCTCTGCTCTCCTTCTGAAAAGCCACCCCAAGAGCTGCAGGCCAGCTCAATTTAATGCTAATGACACAGGTCAAACTGACTTTTGGAGCTACTGATGCAGCTATTTTTAAGTCCATCAGCCGCTACTTCAGACATGCCTTGGGCTGTTCCTGGTTGAGCTTTGCAGCATGGTCACAGGGATTGCTGAGACCTGTGTGTGATGCTCCATAGCAACGGGGAGACAGCAATTACTCCTGTCACAAGAGCATGTGACATGGGCCCGCTTGCTCCAATAATCCCAGTTGAACAAAGCGCCACCTTCTTTCCCATGTTTAGAGGAGGACAAAGGACTAGATCCATGGCATTGTGGGTATCAGTGCCTGGGCTCCAGCACCTGCTTGGGACAAATGGAGCCTGCAGTGCACCCCAAGCAGCACACTTGCTTTCAGATACAAAGTTGTTCAGACTTTTCCCAAGTAGAACTCATGTTTTAACATGCACAGCATGAAGGTTCCTCCCGCAAACAAAATGAAATGAAGAACATTTGCTTCCTGGGAAGATTCAGAAACGCGATACGTTTCTTAGCTCTGTTTCCATTTTCTTAGCTCTGTTTCCATTTCCAGATGGGCGTTTGGCCATGGCCACTGCAGACCTTGCGGCTAGCAGACAACAGAGCAGAGGTGCAGGCTGCTGCCCTGATCATCCCTGCAGTGCGGGGTGGGCTTCAGGGATGATGCCATTGGATTCCAGGGCTGCAGACACAACTGATGTCAACCAACAGGAGGCTGCTTGTGGGTTCTTCCTCACTCAGCTGCGTTTGGGCATCTGAGAGAAAGTGGGGTGTTTTGGGGGGTCTTTCTGATTAAGAAATGGCATCATAAGCATCAACAGATGCCTCTTAATTGTGTCTTTCAAAAAATACAACTGGTGTCCAAACTCTTGTTCCCCTATGAGAAAAGTGTATAATCTCCTTGGAAAAGAAAGCACATTGCTTAAATTGATAAGACAGACTTTATTGAAATTCTTCAGGCAATTCTATATTAAATTAATGACTGTCTTCAAATAAGTATTTGTTTTTCAGTCTAACATTTGGTAATGAGATGGTTCCCTTCTGCTACAAGACCAAAGTGAAGCTTACAGAAGGTGAACTTCTCTTTTTAGAGCCACACCATAAACAACCTAAGTTGATTTTTTAAAAAACAGAAAAGAAAGTAGAATTGTCCACAGATTTCACACTGCTGGCTATGGACAGGCGGAACCAGCCCCTAGGTCCTGCCAGCGAGGCTCCTGGCCTCACATGGCAGAGCCTGGAGGCGTGGCTATCCCATGTGCCACGGCTGGGTAGAGCTGCCTGAGCACCAGCCGCTGTCCCCAGGGTCCAGCTTGCCCCTCCTCCCCTCTCTCCACCTCACTGCTCAGCCCTCCAGCCTGGAGCTGGACACCAGGTCTGACTTCAAGGTGGGAAGCAGACGGGCGAATGAGAACTGGAGCAGCATGAAGGGAGCGGCCCGCGTGAAGGGCCTCCCTCCCCTGAGGTGGGGTCACCTCAGATTTCTCAGAGGTGATGCTGAGACCAATCTTAGGGTCAAGGGGATTCAACCATTTGGAGGAGTGACACTGCAGAGCCGAATCACCCTGCCACCACTTACCTTTCACCATAGGTGATGCTGAGCCCATCCAGGACCCCGCTGAGTTGAACTTGAAGCTCTTTCAGAATAGTGCTCGCTTCAGGGTCTAGCTGCATAGAGATCACAAAAACATGACTGGAGTTTTGAAAAGTACCCCTTCATTTCCCTTAGAGACATTTTGCTTGTTACATGGTAACTTGAGGCAGTCACATATGCAGATGGGTACTTTTCTCTCATTTTGCCTTTGAAACCAAATGCAAGAGTTAGGAAACTGTGGAGGAAGTGGCAGGTTCTTCCGTATGAAAACTGGTTTGCATGCCATGCTTACAAAGAAAAGCCAGAGAGCAAAGCTTTCATCATTTACAGCCAGGGGGATGCAAAGCAGTACAAATCACCTTCCAAAACTTGATGATGGAAAAATCTAGAAAACCCACCATGTTATACATAAGTTAAATACAGGTACTGCTCCAAAATATATTTTGATCTTAATATTCCTGTCAACAAATAGTCCCACTAAAATATAAACTTCAGTTAAAAGTTAACTTCTGAGGACAGGTTGAGTATGAGTAATCTGAAATGCTTGGAACCAGAAGAGCTTCAGATTTCAGTTTTTCACATTTGGAAACAGCTGCCCAGACTCCAGTGGTTTAGCATTTGTATATCTGAGATCTGCAGTGTCTCAAAACCCAAAACATTTTGAGCACCAATTCAAAAATTTTGATTTTGAAGCAATATAGATTTTTTGATTTTTGCATTAGGAATACTAAGTCCGTATTGTTGTGGCTTATTGGAAAGTACTTTTCCCAACTGTAGAATTTTAAGTGATAGGATAAACGAACTGTCCAAGCACGTCCACATTTGTCTGAACTTGGTAGAGGGGGCTTCTCTCCTAAGACCTCATGGTAACTCAGTTCAAGATGCAAAGTTGAACTATTTATTTTAATTTTATTTTAACAATTCAATTATTTATAACTTGAAACTAAGCTTGTGAATGAATTTAGGTGCAAAAGAAAAGTAATTAGACCAAGGTAACTTATTTGTAATGCTTCTTGTTATGGTGCAAACATCAGAGGTCCATTTTTTAAAATTCAATTTGTTTTTAGAATAGTGTTAGGAAAGAATACAAAATAACATTAACACAAACAGACACACCAAAAATTAGTTCTGCAATTAAAGTAAAAGATCTATATACTTTAGCAAACATTAAAAAAAAACTTTTTTCTACTTTGTTGACTGTATTTTTGTGATATAACTGTTTTTGGTTTTTCAGTGAAAACTAAACAAAGCCTTTAATAGAGGCATTATATCAGTCAGGTGGAGGGAAGCTGGACTATTCTCTGAAATTGAAATCTTCCTGTCTTGACTCTTCAGAAATTCCATTTTCTATCATTAATGTCCATAGTTCCTATCCAATCAGTCTGCTCTTCAAAGATGAGAATCAAGCTACAGTGAGAGAATCATTTGTGGGAGGGTCTCAGATCCTAAAATTTTGTCTTACTTTCTCATTGTCGAAATACACTCGAATTAGAAGAGGAAAGGTTTGTTTAGCTCACAGTCTGTAGGGGTTTCAGAAAACAGTTGGCTGGCTCCAAGGTGGGCAGCACGGCAGGGTGGCATGGCACAGAGGCATGGCAGAGGGTCAGGGCAGAAACAGTGCATGGTGAGGCAGTCAGACAAAAGCAGCAAGCATCGAGCAGCCCTTTCCCTCTATGTCCCATCCAGGGTACAAACTGCCAGTACTCAGGGTGGGTCTTCCCGCTGTCTTCATAAACTCTTCCAGCCACACCCAGAACTACGCTAATCAGACCGGGGCTAATCCAGTTATCACACCCATAACCCAGTATCACACCTGTGATCCAGTCATCTCCAACGCCCCATCTATGAGCACACGAGACTTTGGAGGGGCATCTGACAACGCCTAGCCTTTAGCAGAGAGAACATGTTACGGCCTGTTCCGTGGTAGGAGGCTTATTACATTATTTTCTTTTTGTTGCTCTAAGACCAGCTTTAAGTTGACTTCACTTGGATGAAAAGGTCAGGAAGAGAGTGAGAGAGGCACACCCTATTTCTGTCTGGGTTCCCACTCCCCATGGACCTAGAAAGTACCCTCTAATGAAAGGGCTGAGAGCAGAGGTAGGTTTGTCCACTTGTCAAGATAATGACTTTAAAATTATGGCCCAACCTTAGATTTCTAATGTGGTCTGTGAGTGTTCTGCAAGATAAGCAAACATTTCTAAGAAATTTTAACTTGATAAATGAGCCATGTCTTGAGGGGCAATAGCACCTCTCTCTCTCTCTCTTTCTCCCTTTCCTCCTTCCCTCTCTCTCTCCTTCCCTGCTTTGATATAAAAGGGCTTTGAATTAAGAGTGGAATGAATTATTCTTGCAAACCATGAAAATGGTTACAGAGGTCAGTTGGATGAAGTTGTGCTGTTTCCTCATACTGTTACCTTAAGTGCTTTCTGATTAGACATTTCTTATCACATAATTGGTATTACTTGAAAATCAGAATCCGTCAATTACAGCATCTAAACACTGAGTGACAGTTTTAAGTTTTTGATAGGTATGTGTTTCTAAGTAGATCCAGACCAATTTTCTGTCGTGTAACTAGGGCAAAGCGGAAAAAGGCAGGAAAAGTAAACCGTTTCAGTGTGAGTTTTAGGTCATCCATATGATATCCCTAAAATAACCACAGCAATTCTGAGGCCAGCATGTGAGGCTCCTACAAACTGCAGACCATCACACAAGTAAGAAGATGAGCGTAAACATGGTAACTATGGGCTACGAGTTCACCTCCCTGCACGGCAACACGGCCCAGTTCTTGTGTTGTTCTGAGTGTGTCCAAATGAGGGACATTGTCTTTAGCCTCAAATTTTCTAAAGTATTAAAAAGTAATATTTTGGGGTTTGAGCATGTGCTGCATAAATTGTCAGCTGTGTATTTTAAAAATTATTGCCTACCTAGGAAAGGTAAAAGGCTACTTAATTTCATTTCATAAATTTTTAATACAAAAGTACTATAACATAAACTCAAACTTCTGTATTGTTACTTATGTTTAGTAAGAACAAAGAAAAACTTTGAAGCATTCAAAATTCATAGCCAATGAATTTATTCTAAATCAGGAAGTGAAGTGCCGTGTGAACCTGTACAAGTTACCTGGATGGCTAATAAAGACTCTATGTGAAGAGGAATATGTCCAAGGAAATTCAAGGGTAGAGTCAATTTAGAAACTTACAGGAAAGCTGCTGAAACAGATTTCACCCACACTCTATGAAAGACTTGGGAACTCCAAAATCTATCCTGACAGAGTGCAGTTTTAATGAGCAAATAAGCCATATGGCCACAAATAGGTAATAACCAAGTTTTTACACCATGAGACATAGTTACAAATAATTTGTCTGAGAGAGAGCTAGCAGGCAAGGTGTCCTTTAAGTATTTTCTTTCTCCTAAGGCTCATTTTTGCTTTTTCTCTAAATCACAATTCATTCACCACTTCCTTTTGCAAAGTCCTCTAGTGTCTCTTGTCTTGGACACTGGGGAACTTTGCCTTCGTTGCTTGTGTAAGAGTTTTCTTACAAACCCCTCTTCCTCAGAAGGGCTCTCCTCATCTGTATTTCAGTCCCAGCACCCTGCACTCCCAGGCACTCTGCTGAGCTGAAGGGAGGCAGCCAGGACAGGAGATCCCTGGAAAGCACTCATGATATCCGGACAGTGGCAACTCCTGGAATGACCTCTCGTGTGACTGCCATAGGATACCTTTGCTTACAACCCAGTCTCTTGATTAGTGGCCTTGTCATCCTGCTTCTGTGTCCACAATGCTTACTTGCATGTGCTTATTTCTGATTTCACCAGCTGATTCTGTTTCCTGTGTCTTTTGACTTTAAATCCTGTCCTGTCCCTTAGACATCAGAGTCCTTTGATTGCTACTCTCTGGACTTCTCATTCTGTACTCTCTCCCTGAGTTATCATCTGGCCCCTAGGCTTTCTACCCCTGGAAGAGACCCCTCGTCGCAACTTTAGTCTTGGTTGTCAGTGCCGGCTGGGTTCTTCCACTGCAGTGGTCTCCACACTTGAGTCACAGGGTGGCCTGAGTGGAAATATGACCTGGCCACCCTTCACTTGATTCTCTTGTTTTCCATGCCCAGGTTGGTGACTCATTGTTTAGGTAGACATGAATGTCATCTCTGACTTCAGTCTTTTCTGTCCTGTCTCTGGGGACACCAAGTGTGACTGGTCAGTTCCTGCCTTGTGTTCTCCATCCAACCCATCCTCATCATGTTGCAACTTGTATTTTTCACATCTAGTTATCATGATCATCTCCCAGTTGTGTGCTCATTTTCTTGCATCCTCTTCCTCATTGTTCCCAGAGTTGCTTTAATAAACCCGAATCCAAACTTTGTACTTGCTGGTCTCATCAAACTGGTTTTCAACTAGGGAGGTGCCTCAAGCAATTTCACACAAGTTTATCTAAGCTCTTAATTTCATTTATTTTGAAAAGGTCAGTTCTCTCCAATCCTGCTTATCAGAACTGACTCATCTTTTAAACTTTAGTTTAACTTAAAATACACAATTGAAGAACAGGTGAAAATCCCCTAGTGACCCTGAAATGCCCTAAGTCACTGTGTAGAACTGTGGCCTCTCTGTGGAGATGGGTGTGTTGTCAGGGACAGAACTGTGGTCCTCTCAGATGCAGGCCAGTGTGCACTCTCCAGCGATGCTCCTGTTCTGTTTGTTAAATTCCTCCTTGGAGAGACCTTCTTCAGGAGCACAATCATTTTCAGACCGATTACAGAATTTTCCTATCAGATTTGCAAGAATGTTATGCCAGAAGCATCAGTTACAGTATACACATCTGTGCGTCTAACTTCTTGGTGTCCAGAGGTTGAAGAACATCAGTAAGTGTCTCCCATCCTACTTAAGGAAAACAACACAGGGATCCAATAGTCATTGTGCTCCCAATCAACTAAGTGTCTGAGAGATCTTCAGTTCACTTCCTCAGTCACGTCACTGAAGGTACAAAGTGTTGCCCTAGAGGCCGAAGTTCATTCGCAATAGTTCTGAGCTCGTGAATACCAGCCAAGTTTGGAGCTTCCTAGTTCTATGTTCCTGT